CGGGATCTTTATTTCTGCCCTCTGTGTAATGTTTTTAAAAAATCATTCTATAAAATTAATCCTTACGAATGCCAGGATTTCTGTTTTATCATTAACAATGGCTATTCTGCTACTATTAATAACTGTATTTTCTGATTCAATATCTCTTAGGCCTCACCATGACAGTACCTCCTGCCATATTTGTGTGTGTGTGTGTGTGTGTGTGCACTATGCATATGTGCATGTATATACACAATTTATTAATTTATTAATTAATGAGCCACGGTGCAGTGGTTGGAATGCATTACTGCAGGCTGCTTCTGCTGACTGGCAGTTGCCTGCAATTTGGCAGTTCAAATCTCACCAGGCTCAAGGTTGACTCAGGCTTCCATTCTTCCGAGGTGGGTAAAATGAGGATCCAGATTGTTGGGGGCAATATGCTGACTCTGTAAACCGCTTAGAGAGGGCTGTAAAGCACTGTAAAGCGGTATATAAGTTTAAGTGCTATTGCTATTGCTATTATTATAAGTGTTCATTTTTTTCTCTGGCTGAGTATGAGTATAGAGTATAATTATATTGAAGGAACGAGTAGGCCATCATATTCAACTCTTTGGTCTGGATCCCAAATTTAATACTGGTTTTTTTCTGCTTTAGGTCTATGTTTTATTTTATTTAGTGTTCTTCTTTGTCTTATGAGCTACCAAGAGTTTTGTAATTGCATCAGCCTTAGTGTATACATTTTACACATTTGGCTACTAACAGAACACATGTAGCCTACCATCTTTTTGGCTAAATTGGTTCCATTGTTCTTATTGTTTAGTAATATGGCACAATAATTAGAGCAGAATATAAAAATCTATGATATAATAAACATACTAGCTTTAAAGAGGCCATCAGATTCTGAAGCTTACTTGAACCATTAGCAATATCTAATATATAAGAATAGCCTATGCTTACAATCTGAATATTAGAAGATGCTTTCTTTAATCAAGTTGGCCAAAACAAGATCCAAAACAAATACAGTGGTTTGATTCCCTTTACACCTGGAAGCTGGTGTACCATGCAATTTATGATGAATTAATAGTGATCTTTTTAAAGAGGCTAACACCATCATATCAGAAATCAAAATGATCCATTTCTAAAGGCCACAAATATAACTCTTTCTCTCTTTAATATGGTTACCACTCCAATTAAAATAAATGCATTACTCCAGGTCAAGGTCAGCCACAAAATTTTGCTGCCTCCTGAAACAAGATGCCATCAACACTTTATCTATAAAAAATCAGCTAGCCTGGTAGGCAAATTTTACTAACACTGCAGTATCAGAACAGAATTTTTGGCCAAATTTAAAACCAAGAGGCCACAAAGAGGCCACAGAACAGGATGAATGGCAGTCATTGCTGTACCTTCAAGTACTTTTTTTTACTGCTTTCAGGCTCATTATCTCTGTTACCTGATACAAATAGGCTCTGCTTTGCTGAAAGGGAAGGCATGATAAGTGCCGGTATATAGTCTAGAGCAGGGGTCTCCAACCTTGGCAACTTTAAGACTTGTGGACTTCAACTCCCAGACTTCCTCAGCCAGCTTTGAACTTCTGGGAGTTGAAGTCCACAAGTCTTAAAGTTGCCAAGATTGGAGATCCCTGCCAGTGGTGGGTTGGTACCGGTTCTCCCCGGTTCTTGCGAACCGAGAGTGGAAGTAGTGGCTCGGAGTAGTTGAGTAGTTCAGAGAACTGGTAAATACCACCTCTGCCTGGCCCCGCCCCCAATTTATTCGCTGCCTCCCGAGTCCCAGCTGATTGGCTAGAAGGAAAAAAATCAAGGCTCACTTGACAAAGAAGAGAAGAAAAAAGCAAGACCCTTAGCTTTAAATTGAGAAGCCAAGAAGCCTCCCAACCAATCAGCTAAAACTGATCTGCTCCTTGTAAACTGCTCGGTGTTGGCATATTGGCAATTGAGGCCAAGCTGCCTGAAAGCGGTTTCCAATGCTCTCAGTGGTGGCAGAGCGGCAAAAAACTGTTTTAACTCTTGCTGCGGCTCTTCAAAGAGCTGCCCTATAGCTGATCAGCGGTAAAAGGCAATGTGGTGGTAGACCAGTGCGCTCCAAAAATAAATGGGTAGACCGGAACGCTCCAAAAACAAATAGGTAGACCGGAACGCTCCAAAAACAAATGGGTAGACCAGTACGGCTATGCAAGCAGTTAAAAGCCTGGTAGACCAGTACCTCTGCTAAATCCTAAAGAATTGTTTGTCACATGACCATCAAACCACGCCCACAAAATAAACCATGCCCACAGAACCGTAGTAAAAAATTTTAGAACCCACCCGATCCCCGCTCTAGAGAGCCTGTTAGCTCCAGTTTTCTCATACTAAACAATACAGTAGAAATTTCTTTACATTATCACGAATACAAGTAACCCAGCTGAATTCACACCTTTACCACAGTAATTGTGCAATGCCTATCAACTATATGAAAAATACATATTGTACTTTGTTTAGATATAAACAGGTACTAAATGCTAACTGGACTTACTTTACATCAGTAAGGTATGATGGAACTTTGGTATAGATTTGTACTACCCTGTTTCCCCCCAAAATAAGACATCCCCTGATAATAAGCCCAATTGGGCTTTTGAGCACATGTGCTAAAATAAGCACTGGAAAATAAGTCCTCCCTGAAAATATTTAAATGCAGAGCTGGAAATCAAGTAAGACGGCAAGAGGAGCCCCATCTTGCTCCACGCGCCCCAAAATAATAAGACCTCCCTGAAAATAAGGCCAAGCGCTTATTTCGGGTTCAAAAGACAGGGCCTTATTTTCGGGGAAACATGGTACTTTGTTACATTGGATTCCAGAACTCTGTTTCATTATAATTTACTTGGCAATGCACAGTAAGCTCTGATGTTCTTATCTAACAACCATTTCATAAAGTCACAGAATTAGAAGGCACTATTTAGGCCAATCCTTCTCTGGGTGCAGAAATTTAAATTATAGTATTTGTGAGACATTGCTAGCTAATTTCTGCATGAATACATCCAGCTGGAATCTACCTTCCTGCGTTTTACTATAATAGAGAACAGTCTGCTGCTTTTTTCTACCTGAGCCTGAATAGTGTCACAGTACAGTATCACTTTACAATTCATTCTTCTCTCAAGATTAAACACACCTACTCTCTTCGTTCCCTCTTCTTAGAGCTTTGTTTCCAGCTGAATGATAATTGTGACTAGCCTTCTCTGTATCCACTTCAGTTTGTCTCAATTCTTTTTAAAGTAAAGCAGTCAGAATTGCATGCAACTGTTGACCTGATCTGACCACTGGAGGCAAAATAGGGCTACCTCTATGAGTTGGAAAATAACCAAAGAATAAATTTATGTTCCAACTTGCCTGACCTGATTCCTATTAATATTTTGATAAAAACGTATTTCATTTCTCTACATTGGCACCTTCCATTTATGAACTAGGCATTTATGTCTACATAGGGTGATTGCTGAGGTGGATAAAGAGGCAAAGCTAAATTGTGAGAAAGAAGTCTCTTTCTCATCACCATCTACCCCATTCCAACATACAGGTATATTTCTAGATCTCACTTGCTGCAGTCATTAGACTCCTTAAGACCTACTGGATTCAATGGGATTTATGTCCAGGACTGTTAGCTCAATCCCCACCGATCTCATCCATTTGTTGTCCATGACCATTAAAAACAGAATTCATGACTGCAGCCTCAGTTTTATTCCTTCTTTGCGTTCCTAGACCTTTACATCAGCAACATTTCTCTTTTCTACCTGGAAAGCAGTCAAGACACCTAACAATAAAACAACGAAAACATAGTTAAAATATTGTGAAGGATTTAAAATTGTTTGTTCAAACCTAAAAGGCCTGACTCAGGAGGAAAATCTTGAAAAATAGAAAGAATGAGGGCTGGACTCAACTCTTGAGGGAGTGTACTCCTTGGTAACATGAGAAAAGACACTTTAATGGAGCTCTTTGGCGAGTAGACTTTCACTATCATTCCACCATGCTCTACTACAGGGGTCCCAAACCACCAGGCTGTGGCCTGTTCGAAATCAGGCTGCACAAGTGATGTGCAAGCGCATGTGTGCATGAAGCTCCACATGTGAGCAGAGGGTGATTGAGTGGAGGGCGCTTGTGCTTGCGTGCAAAGCTCCACTTGTGCAAGCAAAGGACGTTTGTGCATGTAGCTCCATTCGCGCGAGTGGAACTTCTTGCATGAGCACAAGTGCAGAGGTGGTATTCACCAGGTTCTAACCAGTTCTGGAGAACTGGTAGCAGAAATTTTGAGTAGTTCAGAGAACCGGTAAATACCACGTCTGACTGGCCCTGCCCCATCTATTCTCTGCCTCCCGAGTCCCAGCTGATCGGGAGGGAATGGGGATTTTGCAGTAACCTTCCCCTGGAGTGGGGAGGGAATGGAGATTTTACAGTATTCTTCCCCTGGAGTGGGGTGGGAATGGAGATTTTACAGTACCCTTCCCCTGCAACGTCCACCAAGCCACACCCATCAAGCCACGCCCACAGAACTGGTAGTAAAAAAGTTTGAATCCCACCACTGCACAAGTGCCCTCCGCTCAAGCGCCTGCCACTCATGTGAACCTCCATTCATGCAAGTGCCCTCCATGCGAGTGCCCTCTATTCAAGTGCCCTCCACTCACGCGAGTGGAGCTTCATGATGTCCACCACTCGTTTGAGTGGAGCTGTGCGTGCAGCCCGGTTTCAAACAGGGGATCCCTGTTCTAAGAGATGGAACAGGACAATAAATTATTAATACAGCAATCTTGTCTCTGAACAAAATTCTATTTCTGCCTATGATAGATTTTCCTTCTACCTTTTCCTGTGATGCTCAAGAGCATTGTGACATGAAGATCCTAACCCTTACAACCAGCCCTACCATTAAGAAAATCGTTACTTCAGGGTGCCAGATTGTTAAGCATCAATCTGAGTCTTCTGATTCAGAAGATGAAGAGCTTGGCCAATCTGACCCTCAACCTGCACGACTGTAATTACCTGAAGGAAGTAGGCCTGAGAAAATCCAGGCGTCGGTTGAGTCAGTTGATCCAGAACCTGAACTAGACTAGGCTCTGAGTCCACCAAACATCACAAATGAAGAAGAGGAGTCAAGCTGTCCATCTGAAAAAAAGGAAAGAAGCATGGCTCAGCCAACTAGTCAAATTGATAGGGATAGGAAAAAGACTTTGTAACTAGTTTTTTGTACCAAGTAACAATGGATGTTTATACCTGCCTATTTGCAATTTTGGGGTTACCTGCGACCCTGGAATGGAAATGGATTGTTCTTGGCTCTTCCTGAACTTGAGTTTTGGCTCTTCAGACCATCTCCTAGTGTAAGCTGGTTTGGCTGTTTTCTATACAGAAACTTTTGAGTTTGCAGCAAATTTTGTATTGCTTTGGTTTTATGACGGCAGAAAATATTGAGCTTGTTGTCATAAGCTGGCTGTATGTTCCTGTATGGCAGCAGCATTTGGAGGTGCTCTGGGGGTGTCCTTAAGTCTGTTAACTTCAAGAATTCATTCACAAAATACAGGGAGCTTTCGTGAGTAAATAGCATCATTGCTCAGCAAACCCCCCACCTTTTTCTCCAGGAGAGAAGTAAAGGAATAATCCTTGTAGTTAAAGTCATTTTCTCTAAGGAGGTAATGAATAGGATTTTGCTTCTCTGAGTGGTCAATAAACTTTACTACTGCAAAACAGCTGGATCCCTCTCTGATCCAGCTGATCTCTTCGAAAAAGAGAAGAGATTCCCTCCCTCCCAACATGTAAAAAGATCATTTCGTAAAGTTTTGATTCTCAAAACTTATTCAGATTTATGGGATCCCCTCATTGATACGAAATCGAGCTTTTCTTTAATGTATCTCACACTAAGCTTTCCTACAAGCTGAAGAAAATGCAATTCAAGGTTGAATTGCCAGAGCGTATATTTAGTTCCCCTCTGGGATGGCAGTGAAATATAATCTCTCATCTCAGTCCCACAAGAATGAACTGCTTGCTGTGGATACACAGGAAAGGGAAGGCGTGTATGTCACCTGATCTTGCATGTTGTGTTGGGTTTGGCAGTGGATCATGATAGGATATTCTTTAGATATATTTTGAAAACTGCTTTGCAGCACATAACAATTTCCCTTAACTCTCTTCCAATCTATATAATTGGGGGGAGGAGGGTGCCGTCTCTCTTACTGATGATTTCTGAAGAACCTAAAAGCTAATTTGGGAAGCTGCTTCCAGAACAATGGTGTCTGTTTGTTGCAGCAAAATTAGATACAACCCAATGAATCACAAACCAGCCACTCATATTTTAGCCCTGCTTGTTCTGTGAGACCAGATTGAAATAGTCATAACTTGGTTTGCCATGCCACAGCAATGCAGCCATAGGATCATATAGCATCTGAAAACCTAAAATTATTGATATATTAATGTCCATGAGTTGTATGGCCAATCCCAAATATGGCCTGGGAACATCTTTTTTTCTGCCATTTCTGATTATATTGGCTTTACTTTGCCCTCAACCCACAACTGAGCTAGCTGTCAGGCCTGGAAGACATCTTTTGTATTAGGCCTTCAGACCTGCAACGTTTACTACTATGGGAAACTGGGATTGTATGGAGCATGGGTAATATAGAGTCATAATAACATTCCTTTCTCAAGAAGTCAAGAACAACTTGCCCTGAACCTGGAAGGCTGGACCTGGGAGGCATCCCCAGTTGGGACAATGTTTCATTGCACCATGTGATGGACTTGTGGGTGTTGGGCAGGGACTTGGAATGTGCTTCGTGGAACTCTGACACTACCTTAAGTCATCCTTCCCTTTACTGATGGTAAAGTAACTTTTCCCTCTTATTCCAATTTCATTCAGGATGTGTCAAATTCATTTAGTTCACCCCTTACTTTGGAGTGAAGCAGGGATGGGTTCTACTTACCTTTACTACCGGTTTGCAATGGGGCCATGCGCTCTTCTGTGCATGCGCAGAAGCATTTTGGTGACATTGGGGTCGGTGGGTGGGGCCTCCCGCCGGTTTTACTACCGGTTCTATAGAACCGGTGTGAACCGGAGGCAACCCACCATTGGAGTGAAGTCAGGTGTCTGCAATGACTTGAAATAGAGGCCACTGAGGCACGGTGTGGATTGGCAATGGGAACAGAAATATCAAATTGATACAATTTTCTGCTGACTTAAAGGTAAGGTCTAAGGCTGTAATTAATAGGGAAAGGCCTTAATTGAATTTTTCATCCAAGTAAAAGTAGCAATATATTGCATTTTTGCTTTTCTAATGATGCTAAAAGCCAGCTAAGCTACAGCCATATTTCGAATTATTGCATAATAGTGCTGTCATTGCAGTGATAAGTATATGTCAGTGACGGAAAACAGAATCTTGGTTGAATGAAATGGAATTTTGGCAAGAGCACATTTGGGAACATGCCTAATTAAAAAGCTCTACCGAAACATGGTGCCCAGTTTTGAAAGATGTTATAGAATTGCCCCCCAAGAGTGCCTGAGGGAACAGAAACTGCCACAACATCCATGATTTTTGATGGAGCTGTCAGAAGGCAACCTCTCACAAAAGAGGCAAAAATATTAGAAGGTACTCAAAAATTTTCAGCATCATAAAAACATTCCTCCACTTCATAATAAATCTGAAAGATAACAAATTAAGGGGTGACACTTATTGTCATGTCTATGTACATGATCAGTCTACTGTCTGTAAAATGAGAACTAGGATTACTCCGGATTGTTGTTAGGTTAAATATTAACAGTAGAAGTAACCAACTAAGGCAAAGAGACAGTCTTCTGATGATAATGGTTAAGTTAAACTGAACTTTAAAAATCTCTAAAGACTTTACAAAGTAAAACTAACAGTCCTTTCTTTAGACAGAAGTGGGAATTTACAGCTTTCAAGTGATTTGGGAATGAAGGGCTAAAAGACACCCGGGATGGAGAGTGGGTTAGAAGTTCCTCAACCTCCCTTTCTATATAAAAAAAACTATACTTTCTTTGAAAATCCTAGCTGTTATTTAGAAATCACCATTCACCTTTAAAAAACAACTCTCATTAAGTCTCCTTCCTTGAATATATAAACTGAATTCTCAAGGAAAATTCAAAGAGCCTTCTTGGAGTTCAGCAGTCTTAACAAATAATAAAATCAAACTCCTTTGTTTTTTACTTCTTACTGTTCCACTCATAAAACATTTCTTTTTCTGTCATCATCATCATCACCATTTTCTTTTCTGCTTAAGATCTATTTTCTTTAAATTTGCAGGAATATGCAAAACGATGTCATGATCAGCAACTAGGTAAACATACTTCAACATTTTAGGACATTTTTAAAATAAAACTCCCAGGAAGGTTTCTAAAAGATTTGTGGTGGTGGGATGGGTAAGAATCAAGACTTGTTTTCCACTTTACTATCAAATATCAGATATATGCATGCATGTACAAAATGCATAAATACAAGCAGAACAAGAAGGCAGCCAAACAGGTTTTCAGAGCGATGGCTGTCCAATTCCTTGCAGTATTAAATATATATATATTTAAATTAACTGACTCTGTTCCTTTACACAGTGCTTCAGTGTCTCACCCTTTTTGAAATTCTAATGCTCGGATGTTAGTAAGGACTTTCTTTCAAGAAACCATTTAACCTCTCCAAATATATAACTGCAGCTTTGGTTTATCCAGGATTGTCCTTGAGAATCAGAAATCCAATTAGACGTGCAGCAGAGAGGAGATATACGACATCCTGCTCTAATCCAAGACTCACAACGCACTCTTCCACCTCCATGTAAACATTTGGTACACTTGAGATATGCATCTGCAATTATACTTACACACAGGCTCATAAGCTCATGGTTAGCATTAACTTTCCTCTTCCATTTTTGATTTACATTTCCAGAATTTTTTTTCTGTGCTGTAACTAAGCCATAGAAAATGAAATAAATTCATGCCTCTGAAGACACGCAAAGTTCTTTTCCTTAACCAAACTGTGCTTGTATATCCACATTCCCTCTCTCTCTCTCTCTCTGTCTTTCTCTGTCTCTCTCTCTCTCTCTCTCTCTTTCTAGAATTCGGCTTAAATCCCTCCAGCACTATCCATGCATATTCTGGCTCAGCATCTCTTCTTTTAGGAACGTAAGGCTCACTGCCCTGATTTGTCTTCAAGCACTTGTTTTTCCTGATCTCCCGCTTTCTTTTTTTAAAACGGCACTGCAGCAAAAGCCTCGCTGTTCCCTAAACACACCAGTCTTTGCATGAAAACTCTTACCAGTGGACAGAGAATCCCAGCTTGGGTGAGTATTGTGTCAAAGTGTCTCTATGCCCTGAGAAAGCATGATGGCTTCTGTTTCAAGTATCCTGAGTTTGCCCTACCACCTCATCCTGTTGGTACTTGAAGCTGCTACTGACGCAGCAATTGCATCTGCACACACAAAAAAAGCACACACACAGTGTGCCCAGGGCTTTGCCTCTTCCCTTAAAGGCACAGAGCAAGATGCTCATTTGTCACTCGGATGTTTGGTAAAATTTGATCTGACTTGCATGGGAAGTTGGAGAGGTGAAAAAGCTATGTATACCTTAGCCGAACATTCCTGGTCTTCGGGACTGTCCTGATACCCGATGCCTTTTTTTTCTCCATTGACCAACCAGGTTCGCTTGTTATAAAATATGCCTGACTGTGAGGAATATCGCACAGCTTGTCGGTGTTCTTTTGGGTTGTCATTGCTATAGCATCACACACAGTCTGTTCTGCACAAAAATATTTACCTTATACAGTATGTTGATAAGTGTGGACCAGAGTTGATTTCTTCTGAAAAAATGGCTATCCATAGATGGTGAGAGATTAATGATTTTCTTTTTTCTCAACTCACTTGCTCCTTTAATAATTCTTTTCTTATGACTGACTAGATAAAGAAGGCTTTTGGAAATAGTATGTTTTGAGCTATTTTTGGAATGTTACAAAGGGCTTATATAACTGAAGGAAGTCAAGAAACTTTACTTATCTTATTCTATCATACTATGAAGTACATTGATAAGATTTTGTTGGAGAGCAACTGTCCCAAACAGGAGGAGGGTTCAAGAGGGGACTTAGCCTGGACTCTTTATGTAAACACAAGAGAGCAAGGTCTGTCACACACACACACCCAATGTCTATGGACCTTATCTAAATCTTTCCCAGGTGAAAGCTATCAGTCTAGGGAAATTCCTGTGAAATAGGCATAGAACAATAAAGTAGCTAGATTGAACTCTACATTTGTGGGTCAGGTTGTTTACACCTGACAGATTTTCTTTCCTAAACCAAAACAAGCAGTTTTTCCTTCTGATAATTTGTATACATCAAATTGATTAGAATGATTCTTGTACTTTAAATCAAAAGTTAGTTTTTTGGTTAAAGACTTAAGTGTTTAAAATAACATACAGTATATTCCCTCATTGCTTCCTCTTTGCCTCATAAATTGTTATCTTGTAGAACCCTTTTTCATCAGCTTCATCTCAATATGCTGGTTGGGCATTTTTTGTAGTTTATTTTAGTTCAGTTTATTTAATTGAGATATTAAAAGTTTCTCCAATGGGAAACTAGATTTAAAAGCTTTTAATTAGGAAATATATAGATGTCCATCCAACTTGCATATGACTCTTGGCAATGTATGTCAATAAAACAATACCAAAAATCCAATTATCATCTAATCTTGAGGACTTTGTGTGGAAAATAGGGCAAAATAGGTATGCTTGCCAACTTGAGTTACTTATAAAATACAGTAATAAAGGTGGGTCAAAAATGTAATAATAATAATTAATATCAGTGTAAAGAAATATATGAATAGGTTCCTGGATTTCAGATGGCTGTAGATTCTTTGGAAATGGAAATAGCTCTTTTGTGGTTAGAATGCAGTATTGCAGGCTAATTTTGCATTCCACTGCCAGCAGTTCAATTCTGACCAGCTCAAGGTTCTGGTTCTATCCTTCCGAGGTCGGTAAAATGAGGACCCAGACTGTTGGGGGCAATATGCTGACTCCGTAAACTGCTTAGAGAGGGCTGTAAAGCCCTATGAAGCTGTATATAATCTAAGTGCTATTTCTAAGTGCTATCGGTCAGCCAAAATAAGCAGTCCATAGTTGTTCTAAGTGACTCAATAATACAGATGAAGTAATATGTTGGGGAAATTAAATTTATCTTTCACAGTTAGCTTTGAGTCTACAATTGTAATTGATGTCACATGCAGAACAAAAGCAATTATTAGCAGTAGGCTGAGCATATGTTTATAAGAACTCAGAACTCAGAGAGCTAATTGAATGATCTTAGACGCCAGAGATCAAAAACATTTAAATGTTCTTTATACCTGAAAATACATGTCTTTTTGCATGTCTTGAGAGACTGGATGCAGCTTACCAGACAGCAGCTGATTTAAAACATGAATGTTAAAATAAAGTACAAAAAGATAGTATTTGAATTATATATGTGAATTATGAACATATGAATGGATGTGTTCTCAGAGTAGGAAAATAAACAGGAATTTTAGAAAATCTAGAATAAACAGGCAACAGAATGTGTAGTGGATAAAGGGTGAGGATTTGGACTTGGACCTGGTTTACCTCAGTTAGAGCCTGTAAGTATAAAACAATGTCTCTTTATACATTTATTTTTTTATGTCAAAAATATAATGACTGGTCTATTTGAAGCCATCCATTTCTACTCCTGAATGCTGAAAGGATGACAGAGTATGAAATCTGCTGTTAGGCACAAATATTTGAATCTACAACAAGATATACATATTTTAAAATGAACAATATGTTATAATTGTACTTATTTATTTGTATGTATTGTAAATAGATGTGTAGGGCTGAGTGTAATTTGTAACCCATGTCGTAACACTGGATAACATATTGTTCATTTTAAAATATGTATATCTTGTTGTAGATTCAAATAATGCACTGTGCTGAATGTTAGTCTTACCACGTTTTAACTAGATATGAATATTTTATGCGGACAGCATTTTATAAACTAGTTTGGTTTTATAGTGCTCTTGAGAAAGGAGCGTTCGAAAATGTTTTGGGATTTGGGATTTTATACAAAACATTTTTTCTTAGCCTTTGAGGCATTCTCCCACTGCGTCTTCTTCTTACTCTTGTTTGCCAGATGGTAGTTCAAACAAGGAGAAGCTTTCTGCACCATCTATGAGGAGACAGTCTTTTAAAGTAAAAAGAAGCAGGATTATTCTAAAAGACCAACCATCTCAAAGTGACTAATCAGAATTAGACAATATGGGGACCTTGGCAACTTTAAAACATGTGTACCTCAACTCCCAGAATTCCCCAGCCAGCATGGATGACTGGGGAATTCTGGGAGTTGAAGTCCATCCATTTTAAAGTTGCCAAGATTGAGAAATTTTAAACTGATGCAGTAAAGCAGGAAAGGAATCAGTAATGGGGAAACAAAATTATCCACTAATGTACTTTTTTTTTTTTTTACTAATTCAATTATGGATGAAGACAACCCCAACTCAATAGCTAGAATAGGTTCCAAGTGTATCTACTGGGATTAGAAAACATTTTAAAATAAAAGAGCAAATAAAACGCTAGCAACATTGACTCACTCAACATTAGGACAGGGACTGATTCCCCCAGGTATATGATAAACCCAAACTAAAAACTTGTGTTCATTAATTTTTAATTAAAAGTAACGCCAAGGGAACAATCATGCTGCAGTGCAAGATCTTCCATATGTCTCTAACAAAGTAGTTTGATTTTAGAAGAGAATTCAGTTAGCAATTTGTGGGAAAAAAATGGATATCTGTTGTAGAAAAATAAAGAAATGTGTGTTTTCTTGGTTAGACTTAAGAACTATTAGCAAAATAGGATAATGAAGCCTGGTATGTACAGTAGTACAGCAGCGTAAGAAATTTCTTAGTATTTAATTTTCTAAAATGTAATATGTATGTTGTTTATCTTACCATGGTTTCCTCTTTATTCAGATATGAATACCTGCCTTGTAACCAATAATCTGTTTGTAAATCGAATTTTTTTGTTTCTGTAACATATAGATTGTAATGGGCAATGGAAGGGATATTTCACCTTGGGAATGTTACTAATATGTCCTTTGTATGATTGACCATAAACTTCAAAATAAACTATTTTGGAGACTGAGTATTGCAATATTGGATTCATGACCTTGATTTGGAGAAACAAATGGACTGGGATCACCCTTACTGTAAAAAAAAAAAAAACAAAAAAAAAACCCCGAACAGCTGAGAAGTGAGAGGGAGATGCAGTCCACTCAAAAGTGTTGTTTCCAACAACACAGGATAATTGTGATGGACAGTACACATATGGACAGAATACACATTACTTTCTCTAGCTGGCTAAGAGATGCAAAATGCAGAATCATTGAAACCATCAAGATTTAGTGGATTTAAAGAATCTCTCTCACTTTTTCTCTCTCTCTCACATCATGTCAGATGAGTTTTGTTGATTGATGCTTTTGGCAGTACCCACTGTTGTTGCATTAAGTAAGCAATGTTACATTGCTATTTTGAGCCCAAACTAGCCAGCCAGCTGCATGCAGAAGAGATACAGAGAGATTCCAATCATTCCCCAATAAATTTTCATAGCTGCAACCCCTCTGGACTGTTTAGAGAAGCAAGCCCTCCTCTCACCATGTCTCTTTCTGCAATAGTAGCATGACATATTCATCTCAAGACAGAAGACCCATGACATACTAAATGAAAAATATTTCAAAAGTTTATCACCGAAAGATTACCATTTAAAAGCTATCTCTATTCCACAAATAGCAAATAGGAGATTCCCTTTTCAGAAAGCAATTCACAACAAATAACTCTGCACAGAGAGTTTAGTACCATATTTTCCAAATTAAGTTTCAGAAGCTTAAAAAGGAATTTTCAATTCTTGTGGATCAGGGCTGGACAAATGTTAGAACGGTTTATATACACACTCAAATGCTGTTCAGATGAATTTGATTCTGCTGCATGTGAAGGGTAGCACCGTAGGCTTCTACATTGTTCAATTGGGGAATATGTAACATTATTTTAAATCTTCACAACAAGAATATATTTTAAAAAAATCCTCATCTCCCTGTTTTTATTATTTTTAGTAGGTTACTGTTTTTTGTATGTTCATTTTTAGTTGATTGGTCACTGGTTCTATTATACTATCTGTTCATGCTCTAATTGCATTATCAATTATTGTAAGAAAAAACATATATATTTTTCAAGATGATATTTAAATACATTATTATAAAAAGATCCCCTCTGCAAATAAATGTAGACCTGGCCTCCAGGGTGGGGAAGGAATGAGCAAATGTCCGCTCTACGGGGGACTGTCAGGAAAGATAATTCAGTCCAGAGAAAGAGGAAAATGTGGGAAGCTCAAAATAATTCTT